TTCAGTTATCAGCGATCAGTTATTATCTTCTCTAGAAATTCAGTTATCAGCGATCAGTTGTTATCCTCTCTAGGAATTCAGTTATCAGCGATCAATTGTTATCCTCCCTAGAAATTCAGTTATCAGCGATCAGTTGTTATCCGCTCTGGAAATTCAGTTATCAACGATCAGTTGTTATCCTCTCTGGAAATTCAGTTATCAACGTTCAGTTGTTATCCTCTCTGGAAATTCAGTTATCAACGTTCAGTTGTTATCCTCTCTGGAAATTCAGTCATAAGCGAGAAGCCCCGTTATTTTTTCGAACGCTGGTTGAAGACTTAACAACACAATTCATATCTCCGTTGAATGTCATGACTCGTACAACAGTGAGGCTGCAAATTAAACTATCAAGTGCAAAAGCTAAATTTACTCACAACGATAAACACTCAACTTTTTATACCTGGATTATGAATCCAAAGTCAATATAGAAGAAAACGAACGAAGAATCAAAAGAAACAGTGAATCGAAAAATCCCTTCGCCATACAATTGGCGGCAGCCTTGCTCTTGAATAAATAAGTGTTATGGGATGCGCGGTAAATCGGCATTTCGCCATGCATTTTTTTCAAGTATTAAAGGCAGGTACTTATTAACACTTACAATGACAATACAGAGAAATAACACTTGCAATGAGAATATAATCAGTGAAATGGGGAGCAATGTCCAAATAGCTTTGAGATTTAGCCTTTTTGTGGGTCATCTTGATCCAGTTTAGCCCGGAAAAGGCTTATTTTCAGCAGAAAGTGTGTCGCTTTTTTGACACTTTGACCCATTCATTTCTCTGAACTCAATCGATAGGAAAAAAATTTAACACATAGAGTTGACAATATTGTACCAAAACGTACAACCTAAAAATTAATCCCAATAATCGCAAATTAATCACAATAATCGTAAATTAATTACCATAATCGCAAATTAATCCCAATAATCGCAAATTAATCACAATAATCGCAAATTAATCAATTAATCACAATAATCGCAAATTAATCACAATAATCGCAAATTAATCACAATAATCGTATACGAGAAGGAACGTACACAATAAACGAAGCATTATCATTTAAATGCTTTATCAAATTTATGGATGAAAAGGCTCTTTTAACAATAGATGATTATGAAAAAGAGATTTAACGGTCCTCCAGTAAGCCACTACACAATGCAAGAAATCCTATATTAATTATAATAGATGATAATTAATCATTATGGACTAACACTATTGAACAAAATAAATAGCAAGGTCGATATTAGGTACAAGTTTCCTAAGCTCGTTACGCTCAAAAATCGATAGATTTACTACGTGTTTCCTATCAACAATTTCCGATATCCGCTGGAAGATATCCGACCAACTTAACTTATTTTGTTCTGAAGGATTTATTTACGATCTCGACTGGTTGCAGTGAAACATTCAATGCAGTGAAACATAGAACGCAGTTAAACGTCCAACGCAGTGAAACGTCCAATGCAGTGAAACATAGAACGCAGTTAAACGTCCAACGCAGTGAAACGTCCAATGCAGTGAAACAGAACGCAGTTAAACGTCCAATGCAGTTAAACATAGAAATCACAATAATCGCAAATTAATCACAATAATCGTATACGAGAAGGAACGTACACAATAAACGAAGCATTATCATTTAAATGCTTTATCAAATTTCTGGATTAAAAGGCTCTTTTAACAAGAAATTATTACGAAGAAGAGATTTAACGGTCCTCCAGTAAGCCACTACGCAATGCAAGAAATCCTATATTAATTATAATTGATGATAATCATTATGGACTAACACTAGTGAACAAAATAAATAGCAAGGTCGGTATTAGGTACAAGTTTCCTAAGTTGGTTACGCTCAAAAATTGATAGATTTACAACGTGTTTCCTATCAACAATTTCCGATATCCGCTGGAAGATGTCCGACCAACTTAACATAGTTTGTTTTGAAGGAATTTATTTACGATCTTGACTGGTTGCAGTGAAACGTCCAATGCAGTGAAACGTCCAATGCAGTGAAACATAGAACGCAGTGAAACATTCAACATAGTTTGGGTCTTTAACAACAAGAGGATGTCGATGAATCCATTGACATTTGATTTTAACGAAAATTTCTCAGTAGCAAATGACATTAGAAAACAGTTTTAGCTAAGTTACTTGACTGAAAATATCATCTAAAACTTGGCCGCGTAAAAATAAAACTTAGATACGAGCTGCCAAAGGTTTCTTCTGTATTATAAATACAACAGAAATAAGGACATTACTCAAAGCTGAATAATACTGAAATAAATTCTAATTTGAGAATACGAATTCTGCGTTAAACGAACCACACTCAAAGAACACCAAAGTTTATATAAACGCATCAATATAAATGAACGTTTATCTGAACCCCACACCAATATAAATGAACGTTTATCTGAACCCCACACTAATTTAAATCAACGTTTATCTGAACCCCACACCAACATAAATCAACGTTCCCCCGCAAAATCAGGTCTCCTCGAATTCACAATTTAAATAAATTCACTATTTAAATTCGTCCACAAAAATTCTTCTCGAGCATTATGTTGAAGAATAAGAGTGAATCGAGGCCTGAGAACATCGAGAGATAAAATTAATTAAATAATAACGTAAGAGGAATAATAAATGAAACACAACAGTGGGACAAAACAACGCGTCGTTGCTGAGAAGAACATAGCGATGGTTTAGGCAAGAACTAAATAAAATATCAATGGGAATAACTTAATGTAGGAAAAAGACCATACTAAGTAATAATTATACATAGTTTGTGAAGAATAGTTTAAGATCACAGCCAAGCAGACGATCATAAAAGAGCACGTGATATACACGGGTAATTAGGAGACGTCGCCAGACACATCAGCTCGTAATCACCAGCTGATAAATGATTTATAATCGCAGATAGCTGATGATAATCAGCTGATAAATGATTCACTATCGCAAATAGCTGACGATCATCAGCGGATAAATGATTCATAATCGCGCTGACGATCACCAGCTGATAAATGATTCATAATCGCATGTAGCTGATGATCATCAGCTGATAAATGATTCATAATCGCAATTAGCTGATGATCATCAGCTGATAAATGATTCATAATCGCAAGTAGCTGATGATAATCAGCTGATAAATGATTTATATTCGCAGATAGCTGATGATCATCAGCTGATAAATGATTCATAATCGCAAGTAGCTGATGATAATCAGCTGATGAATGATTCGCTTCCACAAATAGCTGATGTTTAGTATTTGTTTAGGTTCCAAAATGAATAAGGAAAATTTACCTTTTAGTCAAGGTTAGCCAGCCAAAGCACAACCAAAGAATTTTTCCGAGCGCACTATTGCTGCGGAGAAAAACCTTCTTCGAGGACGAAATTACTGCAGACAAATCGTATTATAAGAAACGTTTTCCTCTCCACACAAACTTACGAATTTATTTTCTTACTAAACCATCACATAGAAAAGAATGCAAGAGAGCCATTATAGGACAAGGCATTCCTACACTGATGACAGTAACTGGCACCGTGAAATGCTATGAAAGACATACCATCCTGCACACATTTTCGGTGCATGAGACATACCGTACATATACATTAAAACACAATGTGAATAATGCACTTATTATTTTTACAGGGGAAAAAATATTTTGTCTCCGCCAAGAGAGAAAGTTTATGAAGATGATTACAGTTAATATGCAAGAGTACAGTTAACACGAACACTACGAGAAAAATCTCCATGTGGATATTTCGTAATATTTCCTGTAGGAATAACGATTAATGTACAATCTTCATATTAATAAGTCAATTCTAAGAACGGTGTGTAATAGCAAACGCTTGAAAGTAAAGTTTGATTCAAAAGCAGCACTGAAATTTAGAGAAAAAAGATTTCTGACAAATCTCGAACAGTTTTGTCAAGTATAAACATGCATGGCGAAGTTTTTCAACAAATCTAAGTGGACGCGTTAATGTCTAGAATATTTCTGCATAACATTAACCTCTGCGTAAAAAATATTGTTTAGTTCTTCGGTAAGGTTTAGTTTTGAGATTTGAGATTAAGCGGCTGAGTAGACCAGGCGCTTTGCAGTGCGCTGGTGGCCAATGCAAAGCAAAATGAAATTACGGGAATTTTCAACATTTGTGTATAAACGAACTGAAGCACCAAATCGACCTTACATTCAACTACCGGTTCCATAGCCTCGGTATTTTCTGGCTTGGTAGTCTTAGGATCACATTCAGACTGAGGCCCGGAAAAAAAAAGAGACCCGCGAATAATCTTGCATTCATTTTTGCGGGTGGTCCGCTCATTGTGAGTAGCATCCGATTCACTTTTAGACAGGAAAGATTTGTGGTAGTAGCCGAAAAAGAAGAAAAAATTAATAGTTGAAGTATGTGTACCAATAAGAAATTCGATAGTTCTTGAAACGTGACTAGGTGCAGTGGTAATTTCTAAAATACTCAAGGCTAGTAAGGGAGTATAAGTCACTACACCGTTGCGGTTACTATTAGAGCTTGAACCCAAAATGCTGGAACAAGCCAGTGCAAAATCAATTTAGAAAGATTTAATTTTCGCATATATTTTTCGTCGTAGCTGATTGAATCGACGCTGAGGTTGAACTATTTTTTGGGCTTGCGGTTGCCGGCGTTTCTTTTCCAATCGCGGATTTCGCAGACGAAATTGAAGCGCTGGATGCAGAGCGACATCCTCGTTTCGATGCCAGCATCGCATCGCGCGACGTGGACTGAGTGAAGGTACCAGATCGAGTAACCAAAATGGTAGAATCAGGTTTCCGGACCCCTTTGGTGAAAGATTTCCCCTTGCAATCGGACTCAACTCCCGGCTTTGGTTTTGCAGCTGTCAAGATTACCGACTGCGCAGCAAATCCTGACATGGCTCCTTGGCAAGCTTCGGATAGGTTGGAGGCCTTGGAGGATGCCGAAGAAATGTGGGAGGTAGAGGCTTTAAGAGAAGATGACGATGGTTTCTTCGCAAGAGGACAGCCGGACAGAAAAGCCGCGAGGGAGCATTGGGATGAAGTAAGCGACGGATACAGCTGGGATGAAGTGGAGCGAGTGGAAGAGGTGGTTGTACGATTGGAAGAGGTAGAGGGACGAGTGGAAGAGGTGGTTGTACGAGTGGAAGAGGTAGAGGGTCGAGTGGAAGAGGTAGAGGGACGAGTGGAAGAGGCAGAGGGACGAGTAGAAGAGGTAGAGGGTTGGGTGGAAGAGGTAGAGGGACGAGTGAAAGAGGTAGAGGGACGAGCGGAAGAGGTAGAGGGACGAGTGAAAGAGGTAGAGGGACGAGTGGAAGAGGCAGAGGGACGAGTGGAAGAGGCAGAGGGACGAGTGGAAGAGGTAGAAGGACGAGTATAAGAGGCAGAGGGTTGGGTGGAAGTGGTAGAGGGACGAGTGAAAGAGGCAGAGGGACGAGTAGAAGAGGTAGAGGGTTGGGTGGAAGAGGTAGAGGGACGAGTGAAAGAGGTAGAGGGACGAGCGGAAGAGGTAGAGGGACGAGTGAAAGAGGTAGAGGGACGAGTGGAAGAGGCAGAGGGACGAGTGGAAGAGGCAGAGGGACGAGTGGAAGAGGTAGAAGGACGAGTATAAGAGGCAGAGGGTTGGGTGGAAGTGGTAGAGGGACGAGTGAAAGAGGCAGAGGGACGAGTAGAAGAGGTAGAGGGTTGGGTGGAAGAGGTAGAGGGACGAGTGAAAGAGGTAGAGGGACGAGCGGAAGAGGTAGAGGGACGAGTGAAAGAGGTAGAGGGACGAGTGGAAGAGGCAGAGGGACGAGTGGAAGAGGCAGAGGGACGAGTGGAAGAGGTAGAAGGACGAGTATAAGAGGCAGAGGGTTGGGTGGAAGTGGTAGAGGGACGAGTGAAAGAGGCAGAGGGACGAGTAGAAGAGGTAGAGGGTTGGGTGGAAGAGGTAGAGGGACGAGTGAAAGAGGTAGAGGGACGAGCGGAAGAGGTAGAGGGACGAGTGAAAGAGGTAGAGGGACGAGTGGAAGAGGCAGAGGGACGAGTGGAAGAGGCAGAGGGACGAGTGGAAGAGGTAGAAGGACGAGTATAAGAGGCAGAGGGTTGGGTGGAAGTGGTAGAGGGACGAGTGAAAGAGGCAGAGGGACGAGTAGAAGAGGTAGAGGGTTGGGTGGAAGAGGTAGAGGGACGAGTGAAAGAGGNGAACAACACATCGGCTGTTGCACGTGTATCAGAATTCATCGCATTATTCACACTCGCTTCCATTTTACGAATTAATACAGAATGACATGGAACAGTTTCAGGCGATTGTGAAGGATCGATTGTTACGTTGCCAACTTTTAAAAATTCATTTGAAGTAGCGACAGATTCGCGTTCAATTTTTTCTGGAACTTGAAGAGAAACTGAGATGAGAAATCCATCATGTAGAGAAGATCCATCATGTAGAGGAGACCCATCATGTAGAGGAGATTCATCATGTATAGGAGATCCTTCATGTAGAGGAGATCCATCATGTAGAGGAGATTCATCATGTAGAGGAGATCCATCATGTAGAGGAGATCCATCATGTAGAGGAGATTCATCATGTAGAGGAGATCCTTCATGTAGAGGAGATCCATCATGTAGAGGAGATCCATCATGTAGAGGAGATCCATCATGTACAGGAGATCCATCACGTACATTAGATCCATCATGTAGAGGAGATCCATCACGTACATTAGATCCATCATGTAGATTAGATCCATCATGTAAAGGACATCCATCATGTACATAAGATCCCCCATGTATAATTGTGTTGCAGGTTCCCAAATACATAGGCTGGGTATCCTTTAAAGGATGAGTTATGCAGCTGAAATGTACGGGATCAGAAGAAGGTTGAGGATTGAATAGAACTTGTTGAGCCAGGATATTGTTGACGGGTGACGACGCTGTTGGAGTAGCGGGTGTAGCACCAGCGTCTGTAATGTGGTCCTGAAAATATATTAAATAACATGTTTTATATAATGGTAGGATAAGAATATATAGATTATATAATAAATTTAACAGAAAGCGTTAAGACAATTACAAGTTAGAATACCCTAATAAATTGAAGAGCACGTGTTATACGATGGCATTATACGCGTTAAGGATGGCATTAATTGAGTGCATACTATAGGAAGTTTGAATAAATAAAACCATGTTTAATCTTTCGTAAATTGATCGTCTATTCAAATAGTGTTCAATAGTGTTCAATAGTGGCTATTGAACCCTATTGAACACTTTCATATATATATATATATATAGTGTTCAATAGTGTTCAATAGCCCCTATTGAACATGCATTCTTTAAGCAACTGGGAATTAGTCGCAGTTTCGAGTCCTAGTCTACAAATATTAAAAAGATGCAATCTTTGAAGACATGTAAGTGAGCTTATATCGTGTGATAATATTTAATGGGAGTTGTACATATTTTAGTCCAAATATAGATCAATGTCATGAATCATTAATTTAAAGTTAACTACAGTTTTAATATTATTCCTCGTGGCGCAATCAATACAAACTTGCACAATAACTACTAATAAAATCATTAAAATCAGAATAAGTAAGAAAGTAAAGAGCGTAAATTGTCAAGGGAAGTAATATTCGACATAACAGACCAGAAAAAAGCAGCCAGGCATCAGTAAACAATTACAAATTGATCAGCAGAAAGCGGTTGGGAAATTTGATACACTGTTCGAAAAAACGCTGTAGGACGGTCTGACCGGCATTCCAGTGGCTGGCCTGTGCGTGAAATGAAACACAGAGTGGCTATTTTTACAATTTAACAGAAGACAGCCGTGCCACAATTGGAATAAATGGCAAAATAGTTCATTTTCATGGGCAACCGGCCACTAGAAAGCCGGTCAGACCATTTTTCACCGTTATTTCGAACAGTGTAAATTTAAAAGACCAACTCGAAAATGAGGTCCAGCCCAAAATTTTCCAACATAGGCAACGGCTCGAGGCAGCCAAAACCTTCAAATTCGAAAGCCCTGTGACCTTCGAAATATTTGAGATTATTCTTGATGGTCGAAAAATACAGAATATGATGACAGTTATGGACAATTAAGATGATATCGATTTTGTAGCTCAGATTGAAAANGTTAACATAGCTTCAACATAGGTTAGCAGGTAAACGTTAGCAATGGGTATGTCCGCGATAATATTGTTAAATATTAACCCTCTACCGCCGCATGTCACTTTCCGGGAACATTACTTTTAACTTAAATTATACGTAAACTATTGAGTGTAGCAACCTGATGACGTTTGTATGCAACAGAGAACATTTTAAAGTTGTCGTACGTGGCGGCAACCATCAGTGCAAGTCATTTTGCGCTCACTAGAACGTATCCTTTTTGGGAAGTAGGCGCGTGACAATATTGCTTCGGTTACTTATGTCAGGCGGTCGAGGGTTAATTGTAGGCTGTCATTAATAGGTTGTAATTGTACACGAAAGGAAGTCGTGATTTGGAGCCATGACATGAGCACTGGTTGTAAAAAGTGGGTAAAAAAATACACTGGTTGAGTTTATGAGTCGTAATTTTTTATGAGACGCGGATGCGAAAATTAATAATCGTTAATTTGTAAGTGAAAATCTAATCATTCTGCAAAAATTTGGCATAAGAGCGAAAATTTGCCAAAAAAGGTCAGAAATATGTATCAAATTATGCCTTCAGAATTTGGTAACGTTATTTACGAGTCTGCGATTGATAAAAGTAATAGCCCGATAAAGAAGGATTGAAGTGAACACTTATCCAATTTAATGTTAATCAAATTACAAACTAAGCACTCACCACATATGTTAGCGAAAAAGCACCCACACAGAGCGACAGTAGCGCTACTCCTGTTGCTCCGTTACCTGAGACAGACCATCTGTTGTCTGTACCTTGGTTTCCGTTAGACCAGCAACAGGAACAACCGGCTTTGGTCCATCATTCGTTTTGAACTGCGCTTCTGTTAAATCGCCATATTCGTTCAAATCAACAGATTCTTCGCAGGATGCTTGAGGATCTACAGTAAGTTTAGGCTTGGTTGCGGATTCGTGAAGAATTTCGGTCGTGGTTTCGTGTTGGGCAGGAATCGCGGTTGGTGACCGGACTTCGGATGGATCGCTGGTGGGAGAAACGGACTTGCCAGAGACTGTAGACGTATCATCTGACTTTGGTCCAGGAGTAGTTTCACCGACACCCATGTGTGCTTCCTCATTTACATTCTCCGCATTATTCCCCTTATTTTGCTCGAGATAATGGATAGCGTTATTCAGGGCCGAATGATCCGGTGATTGTGCGTCGTGGTCTGTCAAGCCAACGCGGTCACATAGCGAACTAGTATCTTTCGTCCCATGATGGAAGAGTTTAGTATTACTATTAGAACAAGGAATACTTCCCGCATATTCCAACCCAGGGAGAGAGTCGATTTCGCGTGTAGAACTTGTTTCTTGATGAGAAGATTCCGTGCAAGGAACGTCTCGTGGAGAAGAATCGGGTTCTTGAAACGAGACAACTTTTCCTCGGCGGTCCGAGCTCGAGTTTTTGATGGCTGTGTTGCCCAACGCCTGCGCAGTTGCAGAACTTGACAAGAATTCCCCGGCAGATAAACCATCGGAGGCTTGAGACGTGGCATGCAATGTAATATCAGCCACGCCTTGAGACACAACATCAACTTGCGTGTCAAGTGAGCTTGGGGATTCTGCGCTTTCAACAGCTTTAGTGCAATCCACATCAGTGAGGGATAAACCATTCTCCACTTTTTCTTTAGGTTCGCACGACTTGTCAGCGGCGATACCGGTAGAAGTCTTAGAATTTTCACCAGAAGAATGATTCAGGACATTGGAAGTGGGATCACAAGCCGCTGTGGTAGTGATGATGCCCTCAGCAGTCTCTCCGACATCGTCTTTAGGACGAACCATTTGCCCGTCATCCATCATCCGAACCACTAGGCCATCATCGTCTATTTCAGTGCCATCATCGGAGCCAGGAGCTGCCTCAGGACACAACCTAACGTCATTGTTGATGCTGGACTCCGTCGAGGAAAATTTTTTTGTGTCGTCGCAAGCGGCGCTGGAATTCAAAGGCCTGCCAACATCGGCGCCAAGAGCAAGTTTCTCTGCCACCGACGTCAGGACGTCAAAAGCCGACATTTCCCCAGTGGATGTCTGCAGGAATACAAAGCAGTGAGTATATTTCTTCGAGACAAAACCTTCTAAATGAACTAATTGATAAGTAAACTCTGGGACGGGAAAAAGGAGAATTAGAACAAACACCTTGCACGGAAGAATAGTAAAATATTACTTTCAATGGAAAAAAGGTTTAAAACGATCACCTTACGTAAAAAATAATGTTCAAAACGATCACCTTACATGAAAAAAAAGGTTCAAAACGATCACCTTACAAATGTTTTAAAAGGATTAAAAATGTTTTACAAGGATTAAAAATGTTTTACAAGGATTAAAAATGTTTTACAAGGATTAAAAATGTTTTAAAAGGATTAAAAATGTTCTACAAGGATTAGGAATGTTCTACAAGGATTAGGAATGTTCTACAAGGATTAGGAATGTTCTACAAGGATTAGGAATGCTTCACAAGGATTACGACAAGGCCTTCAGGCACGAAAAGCATTGACGGTGATGGTCAATGTCCCCAAAGAAGACAATACGAAGAAAATCACTCAATTGTCTAATCATTTTCAGTATATTGAGACATCTCATCCCGTGAAGCAGTGAGGACTAACAAGATCTGTCAGGAATGATATATAGCCACTCACCAGCGTCATCCTGGGTCTGGTCGGGATCAGAAGGGGCGTCAGCAAGCACATCTACAGCAAAGAACAAATATATTTTTTTTACATACCTACTACACATGTACGAAAAAGTTTAATAATACAAAGCAAATATATCTGCTAATAAATTTCGACACTAAATGAAAGATCGCTGCATGGAAATAGGAGTAGAATATTTTAATTTCAAGTTTATTTCTAATTGTATTATTTTAAATAATAAAGTAATAAAACAAAAAAAGTAAAATAATAACGGTATTAATTATAATTTTTTTTCAATTAGCACTCCAACGACACAGTTTGTAAGGAAAATATTGGCCAAGAGTTAAACTGTTTATATTAAACTCTATTGAAAAATTCAGTACGGTACTAATACTGGTATTATTCCTTCGAATTACACATCTCGGAAATTTTTTTTGCAATGAAATTCCGAATTTTGAAAAGAGTGAAAACAATCGAATTCCTAAAATGTTGATAGGAATCAAAGATTGAAAGGATACAATATGGCAGCACTGTTTAGAATGAATCTCTTTCTTGGGTTCATATAATTCGTCATCTGTATTCAATTAAAAATAGAGTGTCAATCATGAAATGAGAACAGCATGAATAGAATTTCTTTCATAAAAAAACATAATTAACTCACCAGACCAGATATTCTTTCTCTTGCCATTAGCTTTAGTTTGTTGAGCAGGTTTAGCTTCTCGCTTCTCGCGCTCATGGCGGATGCTGCTGTCGTAACACTCCGCCCTGAAGCAATCTTCTCCGAACCCAAAACCGTCCGCGCCGACGTCTTTAATATCAGACTTCATGTTATTATATTTGCGTAGTTCATGTTTGTCTTCCTCTTCTGCTGTAATTTTGCTCACCATTGCAGTAATTTCATTATTTTCATTAACCGACGCTCGGTCTTCAGTAGACGAAGGATCTTTGGCGTCAGTGATTGGACGAGAATTGCCGGTGATTGGACGAGTATTGCCAGTAATTGGATGGCCAATTAAACTATTATTCGCTAACGAGTCCATTCCAATGGAAAAGGACGAAGGCTCATCATTATTCTGTGAGCCTAGGATGCTGCTTGATTTAACATCAGCAGCAGAGAAGCTGAGCCCATCTTCAACATCAGAAATATCGCGTGCTGCAATGTCGGGAGCGCATTCAACATTCTCATTTCCACAATTTTTGTCAACATCTTCCTCATTTTTCGTCAGTAGATTAACATCTTCAACAGCAGGTATCTGCTGCCGAGCATTAAAGTTCTTGTGCCTAGAAGATCTATTTCCCCTTCGTGATTGGGGCTTACATTCCTCGCCAGTCCCAGCCTTCTCATCTGCCCCAACCATCTCGCCTGCCCCAGCCTCAGGTTCCACATTGTCATCATTGTTCTCAGGAAGGGAATTTCTATGCCTTCTCCCTGTCTCCTGTTGGTTGTGGGGGTCACTGGCCTCGGGCACAATGTTTCTGTTGTCGCTGAAGGAGCCCCTGTTTGTCCGCTTGCGCTGGTTCCTCCGTCTGTTCTGTCTAGGGCCCCGCGAGGCAGAAGACAATTCCTCGTGTGGGGAGCGGACCGCCTCCCCGGGGGCCATGGCTGAGGAGGCCGCCAGCAGTTCATCCAGCGTGCTCTTCTCATCTGAAGTGCGTAAAATACTTAAATCTTTTACACAAAAAAAAGAGTTCATATTAAATATGTATGAGAAATTACACACATGTAAGTCACACAGACCTGTAAATACGTGAATGATTATTACCATGTGCAACTTTTCCTATGATTATTGGAAAGGAGGGGTTGCAATAGATTAACATAAGTAATGATTACATTATAGCATCTTTAAATATTATAATCTTTAGATAAATAATTGAAATAAAATAAACAATAACAAAACTCACTCATTTGACGATCAGAGTAAGTTTTGCTTGTCTCTCCGCCCACCGCGACCTCTCGCTCCCTGCAACAAATATTTAATTATGACCATAACGAGAATTAAAAAAATCAGGCATAAAAATTAGGCTTCAATAATATCAATTTATCAGCATAAGCTTTAGCTGCTAAAAACTGTGGCTGACTCAAGTACACTCAAGTGAAATAAATGGGTCATGTTGTCCAAATGGTGACACACTTTCTTAACCATAGCCCCCACAGGAAGCAGACGTAGCAATGTTTTGCCTTTTTTGCTGGGCCAAACTTGCTCATAATGATCCTCACAAGAGCAAAAAGTGCATCGCGATTAGGATCGAGTCTTGCTAACTTCTTTGAGTGTGAACATTGGCCACCATGAAGAACAGATCGAATTCATTAAAAACTTTAATGGCTAAAAATTTTTGCAAGTTCTTATAACCAGCCGGTGAATAACTTGTATTTATATTATAGAGAAAATTACCAGCCAAGTGTTATCAACGTTAGAAGATAGTCACCTATAAAAAATTTGTTCTCAATATTAGATATAATATTTAATATGCATTATGTGATATAATATAGTCTCATACAAGATATAGTAATATCATTAATCAGTTGATCAACACTCCGCAACACTCGATAATTTACTAGGGCATCTGAACTAAAATTCATATATTTTAGCTGTCTTACCACAGCAAACAAACACTGCCACTAGTGACGGGACAGTAAGTGCTTGGTCTTGTCGTAAATATACATTTTTAAATTAAATAAGAACAGAATAAATTATTTATAAAATCATATTAATTGAGCACTTATATCATCAGTCTGCTTAAATCGCAAGTTAAGTAGGAATTTAGAAGCAAAGAAAACGCCAATTAAATTCACCATGTCGATATTGGAAACGTTTCGGAGTCCAGCTCCATCGTCAGTTCAAGAATTTAGAAAATGAAAATAATCATTATACGGTAGTAATACAAAATCCAAAATCAGACATAAAAACCTGAAATTGACAAATAAAATATTAATTAAGATAACTGACCGGCGTTCGGTGTGACGGTTGTCCCATGGGCGCCGCCAGCCGCGGCCGCGTTCGGGGGCCTGGCGGTGACATGAGTTATCAGGGCTACCTAGACCGTGCTTATCAATATAATACTTTTAAGTATATTAAATGCAAGGACATTAATATTTGGTACTTGTAGTCTTTGTACTACTACTGTAGTACTACAAAGTAGTACTGTACTACTGTAGTCTTTGTAGTAGTGAGCAGTACTATACAATGTTGAATTAGTGAGCAGTACTTTGATGCTAGTACTACTATGTACTCCACTAATGATTGCCCTAGCAAATCAATATTATGAAGGCTTTTGAAAATTTCTGGTGCTGAGATCACAAATTGCAAATGATTAATTCATTAAAAGTAATCAATGGATAAGTTATTTGACATAATCTAAAAATGACTAATGAAACAGAGATAGCCAACTCTTCATTCGTAATAGTACGCAAATTCGTTCACTAAATTTCATTACTCAGAGAACGGTAAAAAAACAACACTAGGACGATAAGATAACTTTTAGATTCTCTTATAATAATTTAATATCATAGTACGCTGTTAATATGTATGAAACGCTGACTCACCATTTGCTGGTTGTGCCTGGGATGTTGGCCTCCACGTTGCCAGCCATCATCATCTTGCCAGTGTCCTCGGCCTCTTCCTCTTCTGTTCTTCCAAACCTCGCCTGCATCACCGAAATCTTTCCGTCCTCTACCTCTTCTTCCACCATTATCTACACCATAACCTCTGTCATTTCGTCCACCATTATCTCCACCATAACCTCTATCACTTCTTCCACCATTATTTCCGCCATAACCTCTATCACTTCTTCCACCATAATCCCTACCACCTCTTCCATCATGATCTACATCTCCCCTGCCAACATCTTCTCCGCCATAATCTCTACTTCTGCTTCCGTCAGATTCTTTACCGAAATCATGGCTGCTTCTTTCATTATTTTCTTCGAAATATCTCATCCCTCCTCTTCCAAAATTTTCTCTTGCATAACCTCTGCTGCCTCGTCCTCGTTCTCCACCATAACCTCTCTTGCCGCGACTACCTTCTCCTCCATAACCACGGTTACCTCCTCTCCAGCCTCCAGCAAAACCTCTTTTGCCTCTTGCGCCGTGATGGAATTCGATATCATAACTTTCTCTTCCACCACCTCCATGGTTTCTTCTCCCCATCTCTCCATGGGTATCAGCCTGGTTGCCGCTCCGTACATCCTGGGATTGCTCTGGATCTTGATCACGGTTACCATAATTCATCGAGTACCGATCATCATGTTCAGTGTATCCGTGTCCAGGGCGTTGGTACTCATGAGCATAGTTGGCAGCCCTGTTCTCATTAGCGTTCATCTCATGATAGTTGTTGTCTCCTGATGCATTTTGATGAGGCTCCTTGATAGGATAGAAGCCACCTTGATTGTATCGAGAAAATCCTTCGTTCTTGAAACTCGATGATTGTGGTTTGGTATCAAATCCTACACCGTCTTCCAGCCGCACGTCTCTTGAGACAAACCGACTCCTGGGAGGAGGTTCTGCTTCTTCTGCAGCTACCAAAGACTCCGGACGGGATAATTCCTTAGAGTGGCTTGCATCAGGATACGTATGGTCTGAAGACGGAAGACCTGAGTCTTGGCTCATATGTTTGTCTGATTCATGGTTAAGATATTGACCAATATTGTGGTGGTGATCTTGCTGTTTGCTTTCATCATAATATGAAGAGTTCTCGTCTTGGTGGCTGTCATGTTGCTGGTCATGATGTGGAGGGTAAGGCATACGACCTCCTCTTCCTCGTTGCCAGTTTCTGCCGGCACTTCGACCACGACCTTTTTGTGCCCAGTTGTTCCTGTCTCCTCTGCCCCGGCCATAGCCCCGCCCTCCTTCTGGGGGAGGACCAGCCCCAAAATATTCCCCATCCCGTTCAGGGTCCGCCAAGAATCGGTACTGGGGATCAGGGGGAGGTCCATTATCCTGCACAAACGAGACACTATCAATTTGATTACCATAGATTATTATTAGAAAAAAACTGTACTGTGGGTTGTGTGATGAATGTTATCCCACAAAAACAATAACAATATGAAATTATAAGTTTGATTTCCTAGACATTACATCCAATTGGATAGCTGATCACATTGAAGTCTTGAACTAAATTTTATTCAAGTTGTTGAGCACAGATCAATGGACATGTTCTAAGTGGTATTTTTTTCTAATTTACCGGTAATTGTTATTCAGTCCCTGGAAAGTGTTTGCAAGGCATTGCTAAGTCACCAATGTAAAACTTAGATAGAAGCAACAAATGTTGTAGGTTCTTCAGCAGTGACCCCTACTCCCCTAGTAGATCCAGATAAGAATTTATAGAAGTCCAAGCAGGTGCTTCCTTCAAAATTGGAAAAAAGTAAAAAAAACTCAAAATCAATACTCTGACTCAAAAACTCAAAATTCATACACAGGTGATAGGCATTGGGAAAAAAGGGTTGAGACATTCAGTGAAACTGCTTAATTTTAGCAAAAAATTTTATGATGCATAAAAGTTTGATGTTTCACTTCTAATCAGTTTTTTAAATTAATATTTTGGAAATAGGGAAATGGTCTAGGTATTCCAGGGAAATGCCCTGGAATACCTAGATAGAAATTTGATGGATAGAATGGAAGTTCTCATGGGCTGAATTTGGGTCACATGATAGATCCAGATGAGGTGACCATTAAATAAGATTTTTTTGCCAGCTTAGAAACAAAAACTAAAGAATGAACCTTATGCAATGCAGTTTTGCAGACTTTAAGGTCAAGCTAATTTCCAATGAAGACAGGAAATTGCCAGGCTTGCATTAAATTTTGAAGAAGTAGATATCTAAACAATTATTTACGTACTTACAGGCAGTACCTACCAAAAATGTTTATAAAAGTACCTATGTTATTAAATATGAGCTTGAAATTTTACAATCTTGATCAATACTTTCAATTTGGCAATTACAATGCATTAAAAATACAAAGCTAATGTAGAGTAGAAATACCTACACTAAAATTTTGCAAATACAATTCGGGTGAATCTAAATTTTCTACTGGTAATAAAAAGAAGCCATTTCATGATACCAATTAAATAATGAAAAAATACAGCCAACTAATGAGCGTAGGGAAATTTTTATGCTACCTGATTAGCGGAATTTTCATCAGCTATGGATGAAAAGGAAGCCGAAGGATTGGCAGGGGTGGAAGAAGTGCTATCTGGATAAGTTGTGAGGTCTACAGGACCAGAGTTATGATCCTTCCTTTGCTTTAGATGAATATCTGTTGAATGATTGCCATCCTGCGGAGGATTACGCAGATGATGCTCATGCCAATGATGATCATGGGCCTGGTGAGGGGGCTGCTCATGGCTTTTAAGTTCTGATATGTTGAAGTTTTGTGAACTCTTTTTATAAGCATTTGCTTTCTCATCTTCAATCTCCTGGTAGAAACAAGAGTAATTAAATTGATAGAGAACTATTAGTTCAAGGTATCCAAATAAAGTACGGTAGGATTAAAACAAAATATAGTTGCTCCTTTGAAAGAATAGGATAGATGAATTCAAATTTTTCCTAACTTTTAGTTGGACCTAAATACAAAGAAGAAGTACAATAATATCAAACTTTATATTTTGCATTGACAAACCACACACATTAAAAAAAAAAACTAACTTGCTTCATTGGAATGAGTTATTACTGAAAAAATATTAAATTAATAAGTTTTCATTGATGCTAAAAACAAACAAACATGTATACAAATGCTACAAACATTTCAGGGACAAAATATTGCTCTACATGAGAACAATTGCAACAGATAAGACCAAAGATAAAATCAGTACCAGTATAGACCTGTATTTTGCATGTTTCAATTCAAGTTTAATTTAGCTAGTAAAAAAAATGGCATCATTTATAAAAAAAAAGTGGTCTAAGTTACCCCATTTTACGGTATGTATGGTTGAATATTATGAGCTTTATGTATTTAATTCCAACTTAAATTAAAATTTTAAGAACCTTATTATACGAGGGAATTATTCATATTTTCTGCATTTCTTAAGGTGAAGTTTACAAAATCATTTATCCATGCATTTAGAACACATAAAAATGGCCAGTCAATTCTTAACCACTCTTTCAAGGCTTTCAAGCTATCTGAAATTCCTTATTTATTATTTCAAATTAAGAAATAATGTCATTTAATGCAACTCTCTTAGTAGTACATAATTTAGCTACTTATAATAAATACAAGATAAATAATATAATTTCTCAATGCCATCATTAAAATAAATATTTCAAACATTACCTTGAATCTTCTGAGATATGCTTCATTCTTTTGCTTCATTTCTTCCATCTTTAGATTTGCTCGTCTTTCACGTTCTTCCTTGTCCTGCACATGTACATATTTTTAAATACATGTAGAGGAGATCCATCATGTAGAGGAGATCCATCATGTACATTAGATCCATCATGTAGAGGAGATCCATCATGTAGAGGAGATCCATCATGTAGAGGATATCCATCATGTAGAGGATATCCATCATGTAGACGTGATCCATCACGTACAAGAAATCTATCATGTACATGAGATCCATCATGTAGAGGAGATCCATCACGTACAGGAGAACCATCATGTAGAGGAGATCCATCATGTAGAGGAGATCCATCATGTAGAGGATATCCATCATGTAGACGTGATCCATCACGTACAAGAAATCTATCATGTACATGAGATCCATCATGTAGAGGAGATTCATCATGTAGAGGAGATCCATCATGTAGATTAGATCCATCATGTACACGTGATCCATCATGTAGATTAGATCCACCATGCATAATTGTGTTGCAGGATCCCAAATACAGAGGCTGGGTATCCTTTATAGGATGAGTTATGCAGCTGAAATACACGGGATCAGAAGAAGGCTGAGGATTTAATAGAACTTGTTGAGCCAGGATATTGTTGGCGGGTGACGACGCTGTCGGGGTAGCGGGTGTAGCACCAGTGTCTGTAACGTGGTCCTGAAAATAAATTGAATAGCATGTTTAACATGTTTTATTTAATTGTTTAACTGTAGATTCTGTAATATATTTAATAGCATGCGTCATACAATTGCAAGTTAGGATAGCATAATAAATTGAAGAACACATGTTGTATATAGGATGGCAATATAGTTAGGGACGGAAATATAATTAGGACTTCAATAAATAATGTGATATTTAATTTTTCGTAAACTGATGGTCAAGGCATTCTTTAAGCAACTGAGAATTAGTTGTAGTTTTGAGTCCTTGTCTAGAACTAGCAAAAAGATGCAACCTTTGATAACATGAAGAAGAGATTATATAGTGTGATTATTTTGATGGGAGCTGTACATATTTTAGTCCAAATATAGATAAATGTCATGAATCATTAATTTAAAGTTATCTACAGCTTTAATATTATTCCTCATGGCACAATCAATACAAACTTGCACAATTACTTCAAAATCGTTAAAATCAGAATAAGTAAGGAAGTAATGAGCGTAAAGTGTTGATGGATTTAGTAGTTTAAAAGCCCCAAGCTACTTGAAAAAGCACGGTAAAGGCTCCAAGCTTGTTGAAAAAGTAGAGTATAGATCTCGTCGGTGCATAACGGCAGGTAAATGCGACATGATAGACCAGAAAATAAACAGCAGCCAGTAATCAGTAAATAATTACAAATTGATCAGAAGAAAACGGTTGGGAAATTTGGTACACTGTTCGAAAAAAAGCAGTAAGACGGTCTGACCGGCATTTCAGAGACAGGCCGGTCCGTGAAATTAAACACATAGTGGCTATTTTTACAATTTAACACGAGAAACCCGTACCACAATTAGAAAAAAATAGCCGAAACAGTTCATTTTATGGTCAACCAGCTATTAGAAATCCGGTCAAGCCCTTTTTCACCGTTATTTCGAACAGTGTAAATTTAAAAGACCAACTCGAAAATGAGGTCCAGCCCAAAATTTTCAAACATAGGCAACGGCTCGAGGCAGCCAAAACCTTCAAATTCGAAAGCCCTGTGACCTTCGAAATATTTGAGATTATTCTTGATGGTCGAAAAATACAGAATATGATGACAGTTATGGACAATTAAGATGATATCGATTTTGTAGCTCAGATTGAAAAACAATTCTCAAACACTGTGGGAGCGTAACCATTGGCAACAAATTTAAATCTTAAATTATCCCTCGAGGCAATGCTTAGCGTAAACATACACAGCTACACTTCGTCTCAAAGATGCGATGCCACAATACTCGCTAGAAATACCGCAAGCAATTTATTCCGATATAACTTAATTAAAACCATAGCGCCCCATATTGGCAGCATGTGTTCATGTCAGGTTTTGCGAATTTTGGCCGGAACTTTCATTTAGTGTGAGATGTAGATGGGACAAAGATATTGCAATAAAAAAAAAGTAATGCAAAAACGAACGGAAAAATGAGTAAATTTGCACGCACATTACGAACTAGCAAAATGATATCCTGATAAGCCAAAACAGCAGCGATGATTGAAATCAACGTACCGCTAACCTTGTCACCTGCTAGGCTGCCAGACCCTGCAGTTGTTTCTTTTATGAATTTTGAGATGCGGTTCAATTCATATTTTGTAATGTAACAGGCCATGGGCCTATTTCTTCAACGCCGACACTTCTATTCTATGCGAGAAGATGTGAGCAATGCTGAAAATTTCCTTATGGGGTCTCCCTATGTATACGATTTTTGTACAAACGTCACCTTGCACGAGTGCTTATTTCTTAGCTACCAATGTAACCATGTGTGCACAATTTTATATATAAATGGAATCTTAGGTGCACATTTTTTTAAACAAATGTAACCTAGGGTGCACATTTTTTGTCATTTTTTGGTAAAAATGTAGCCTTCAGAACACATTTTAATACCACAAATGCCACCTTGGCTGCACATTTTAATATCACAAAAGCCACCTTGGCTGCACATTTTACACCTCCTATAGCCCACGTTCGGTTGTGGCAGGTTCGGTGGGGGCCGCAAAGCGTCGCTGGCGTCGTTCGGGCCGCTCTCGCCCGTGGCAGAAGACCGCGAGACGTTCACATACGACGAGGCGATCATCGATGCGCAGCTCGACAAAGCCCTTAGCGCCATCGTCGTCGATGACGTCAACAGTGTCAGTATTCAGACGTATTTTAAATAAATTTTTTTTATTTTAAGTGTATTTCATCGGGTAATTGTAATCTTCTCAATAATTTATTTCTAATAACAAGTCAAATTTTTTCTGGACAGTATTGATAATAATTATTCTGAAAATGGCCGAAATTTGGTACTGTACCTGACTGGAAATTAATTCGTAAAAACTGAATGGATGACGTCGTTTTATATTTAGTGAATGAATTTCAAACAGATTTGGATTTGATTAAAAAATCCACGTTTCATAAATTTTTTTAATTTGTCTTATTTATTGAATGTGACCGACCTCATATTTTTTCACTAGATAAACGCATTCAATGTGCTTGGATAAAATTTTTTTCAAATGTTCATATCCAATCGAGTATTAATAAACTTACTGTGCAGTGGTATGCATGCAGATATATACTCTCTTTTTACATCACAATAGCTTACGAGAATTGTCGCCTTACAAATTTAATTGCTAGTGCGTACGTTCACTTAATTAATATTACCATAATTTTAATGGAATTAGTAAAGTATAGTATAGTATAGTATAGTATAGTATAGTATAGTATAGTATAGTATAGTATAGTAT